ACTTTAAGAATCAGAATAACTAGGTCAGTTTTTTACTATAAAGGTCATAGGATACTTTAAGAATCAGAATAACTAGGTCAGTTTTTTACTATAAAGGTCATAGAATACTCTAGGAATCAGAATAACTAGGTCAGTTTTTGACTATGAAGGTCATAGAATACTCTAGGAATCAGAATAACTAGGTCAGTTTTCTTACTATGAAGGTCATAGAATACTCTACGAATCAGAATAACTAGGTCGGTTTTCTTACTATGAAGGTCATAGAATACTCTAGGAATCAGAATAACTAGGTCAGTTTTTTACTCTCTACATCCTATGTCCAAAGAAACACAGATGATTACCTGAACACGTGCTTCACAGAGGTTCAAACGCACAGCCAGGTCCTCACGAGTAAACACGTCCGGATACTGGTTCTTTTCGAAAGCTCGCTCCAGCTGATACAACTGAAAAGTCGTGAAAGTTGTCCGGCTTCTCCGTAGCTTTCGTGGGTACAGATCTTCATCTATGGGTCCTCCCTTTCTGTCTGGTCGGTCTACGGACTGGTCCGTATCTATGGCCGAAACTGGGATGGAAGAGCTTGATTCGCCACGTTTGAAAGATTTCGTTATGGAATACCCTTCCTTTTCCTGGTCCCCTAGAGGGACCGTCTTTGACTTACTTGAGGAGCTCATTGATGCCTTCATGATTTTCTCTTTGCCACGTGAACTTTGACACGTGTCTTCCTGTGGCAGACCTGTGTCGAAAAACAAGACGTATACTTCATTAAGTTCGGCATTTGACAATAACTTACATCAATATTACCAATCTATACTTAAACCTCACTTACATAAATATTACCAATCCATACTTAAAACTAACGTACATCAATATTACCAATCCATACTTAAAAGTAACGTACATCAATATTACCAATCCATACTTAAAACTAACGTACATCAATATTACCAATCCATACTTAAAACTAACGTACATCAATATTACCAATCCATACTTAAAACTAACGTACATC